TTTAACATATGTAATTTTGATAAACAGAAGGGCTGGCGGAAAGCAGAAAAAACCACGAAAAGAATACACAGCAAGGCATAGCAGGGCTCATATTAATGCAATTTAACAGGGCGTATGCATAATATTTAGCTAAGCCAAAGCCAAAAAGAGAAACATCTCCGCGACGGCCCGAAACTGCGGCCTGGCTCAGTGCAAAACTTAATTAAAAATGTGCGCGCATAATTATAACTATATTTAGCCAGAAACAACCACACATACACGCGCTTGTAAATGTGTATTAATTTCGTATGCAAAAAAACACACGACGCGACGGGGAAATGCAGCAGCAGCTGCACACAAAAGCCCCGCGCAAAAAAGTATGCTACACTTTTTTCGCCATGTGTAAGCGGCATTTCGGGCGTCCGCTCCGCTCCGATGATGCTGATGATGATGATCCTGTGCCGGGTTTTGTCAACACACCGCCAACATCGTACTCGTCCTCGTCCTCGTCATCGTCATCGCCCTGGCCTGCTCTGATGAGCGTCAGCAGTTACCGTAAATTATTTTATTTATACCACTCCTAGTCGGGCAGCTGGTGCTGGGGCAAGATGGGACAGAATACCAGCATCATACCATGGCTGTCTGTGTGCTTGACTTAATAAAATAAATTTAGAAGCTGCCTGGCTTCTCTCTACCCCATCCTCTCTCACCCTCTCTCTCTCTCTGTATCTCTTGCAGTTTGCATCACGCCTCAGTTGGGCGCGTTCGCAAAACGGCAAAATGTGCATAATGCCAGTGTGTTTGTGAGTGCACGAGGAAGTGAGCGAGTGAGTATGAGTGTGAGTATGTGTGTGTATCCCGTTTATTATTTATGCATGCTGTGCAACATTTTCACCCAGCAGCTGCACAACAAACGCGAAATGGTTGCACGGCTTCCTGGCTATCAGATTTTTTCGCTATGGGTTTTGTTGTGTTTTAAGTAGAACAACCTCATGTATCGCACAGTGGGACAAGACCAACCACTAAAATTAGTATTTAGTATTTACCTGTTCTACAAACCTAAACTCATTTTGATATCGGAAACTTTTGGCGAATGATTCTCCGGCTGCCCCCAGAGGTGTCCATCTTCGGTTTACTTCAAGAGATCATACATATGTACAAATCAGCCTCAAATCAGTCCGGCGAATAGAGTGATTTGAGGGTGCAGAAACAGCGGGAGACGGTCGAAGAGATGTTGAAGTTCGCTTGGGATCGATACGCACAGCATGCGGTGGTGCACAACGAATTGAACTCACAGCTGGGAACATCTCACACAACGACAACATAATAATATTAGACTGAGCATAGTGGACAGTCTTGACACTCAAGACGCTTACAAGAGGAGTACAATCGAGGACATCATTGGGTGCCGGAGAGCTTCACGAACATCTGTCCGTGTCCGAGTTGAACGTTGACTTCGTGGGCGCGCTCTTCTCGAAGTACGCCTTCACTGGAGATTTCCTGTTGCAATCGAGGGCTGAAGATGTGGACAATGGACTCTGATATACCCCAAGCCATGGTCAATCCCAAAAGAATAGTGGCTAGACTTCGTTCCGGGGTCTACGTAGCCATTTTATCAGAGATTGGTGTACTCCATCTCGAGTTCAGCTATATAATCGAGATCACTGGAGGTTTCGAAACTACGTGCCTCCGCTTCGGGATTGGCTGGACTATAGAAAATGACTATGAGCACAATGGGCGATATATTCTACGATTATCAGCTAAAGAACTGGCTACAGTCGGGGAAGACAAACAAACAATCCCACGACCTGTACCAGACAGCCGTCTTGACATATCTGAGGGAGTTGGCCAACTTCCATATGAACCGACTGATCGGACCTGCTTTGTCTGTGGACTTTAACGATTCTGGGCTGGCCTAGAGCCACCTTCACGTGGACAAGGATATGGCCAGTACCTGCCATGAGAGCTATAGGCGCTTGCCCACAGGCGTGGGTCCCAAGTCTTTTCAATTCGACGCCTCGCCAGAGGAAGACGCCGCCGTCTAGACAATCGAACAGAAGGTCTTTCGCCACTGCCCCCGAGGCAGTGGAGACCTACTATATATTCCCACGACCAAAAGTGCAGGGACTGGGACTGGGAGCTGGTCGAGGCCCTGAAGAAACAATGTCGCACGAAATTTGGATACTCGGGTCTGGAAAATGTTTACCTTCGGTAGGGTCTAAGAAATGGGGTGTGGGAAACCCTCAATTATTTGTGCCTCCTGTTCTCCAATGACACGCTACTGCCCTTGGACAAGTGGCTCTCCATTCGATATGTGAACAAAGTGTTTCGTTCCAAGAATAATGTGCCAGAATATTATTTTGAGCTCAATTGAAAGATTGCTTAAGCTAATTTTCGACCTGCCATGAGAAAAAAGGCTATGAATATGCAGAATTGTTTGTATCATTGAATTTGTGAAAAAATAAACAATTTGCACGCAACCCGACCACAGAACTTTTCCGTTTGGATCATTTTTGAGCAGCATTTAGTGCGATTTATTTATTTTGATTTGTGTGTGGCTCTGTTTGGGTGAATCATTTGCATCAGCATTTATCGTTTTGTGGGTTTGTGTGCTCTGCCTTTGTTTTCAGACCAACAATTGTGGCCATTTTGATAATCACAATGTATCACAATATTTTCCATTTTAATTGGGTATACAAAAGTGGAAAAACAAATACACACAGAACACACAACACATTGGGAAGGAGAGCCCAACCAAAAGGCCCACCCCGGCCAAAAAATATGTTTCAAATTTAATGAAGCATTTGTTTGGATTCTGTAGCCGGATCTCGTGTTTGTTTGCCAAGAAAGGAAGTAACAAAAAATTGCTCGATATGGAAATGGCCTTTAATTCAATGGCATGGCACCTGGCTAATTGTTTTGTCCATGGAAAATTGGGTCGAATTGATGGAGCGTACAATGTATACCTTCTATATATGTTCATTCGAAGTGTGAAATATTGACAAGCACTTTAAGGGCAGTATCGTTTACCGTAGGTCAAATGCTGCGATTGGGACCCAACAATGAATTTTAATTTATTTAATTGAAATGTAATTTATAGGCATAAACGAATGGGCATAAAATATGATTGTTCAATCGATTAAAGCCAAACCAAATGAGGGATATAAATTAAAGTTACACTGATCTGAGAAAAATATAGAAAATGTGAATGTGAAGCGGATTTTCTGGCATCTACAAAATACGACATTGAATGCAGCCGCTGCGAGATAAAATCCCAAAGAAAAGCAATTTTTGCTTCTCTGTCTGTTTTTGTATCTTTATATTTATTATTTTTCCTGAAAAGCCTGCGCCATAATGCGTTCTTTTGTATGGCTTTGCCTGCATCATTAAAACCCCGAAGCAGTCGATTTAATAAATGTGGCAGGCCAAAGCAAACAGTGGACTGGCAAAGGATACCCATGGCCGTATATCCTCCGGCTGCTCCGGTTCCTTCGGTTGGGCATTGTGAGAGTTGCCAGAAATTAAAGCTGGCGCCTTGGTCAACAGTTTCTTGCTGTGTGAGTTTGTGTGGCTCGAAAGCAATTTACAAAAGTTTCTCCATCAAAAATCCGCTGTCAGTATAAATATCCTTAAAATAGCCAACACGGCTGCTAAGCACACACACACACACACACACACACATAGGGCACACTCTCACAGGAACACATGGATGATGGAGGATCCTGGCCGCTTCCTGGCTGCCTGCACGTTGCTCCTGCCTGCAGGAGGAATATGATTTATGAATGCATGTGCTGATATATGCCATGTGCCTCCTGTCTGTCCCGTTCCCGTCCTCGTCTCCACCATCGTCCAATGTCCCTTCCCCGACCGATGCTGCCGCAGCTACTGCTTTCCCGCTGCACGTACGAGTATTGTTAGCGCCGAAAATTATGCTACAATATTTTTCCTCTCTCTCTCTATAAAGCTACACACACATACGTAGACACATGCATGCAGCAGGCTGCACTTGTATGGCCTCATCTATTTGTAGTCCAAACAAAGAGAGACGTGTGCCACACACACACACACACCCAGCCTCATACACAGGCGGCTTACTGTGATTTCCACTGGTAAATCAGAGGCACTTTAAATTGAGCATGTTACGTAACATGTGGCAGCCCCTCGACCCACCCAGCCAGCACCAGCCTCCCTAAACGACTGGCTTACGAGCAAAGTGAAGGGCTCATCCTCATTCTCATCCTCATCCTCCTCTATACCTATCTCTCTATACTCTATACTCCACACACACAGTGGTGTGCAGTTTTCTTTTGCGAGTAAATCTGTTTAAATGTTTGATATGCGATTATTTCTGCTTCCATTGTGAACCGCTTGGGTTCCAGCAGATAGTCCCAAATCCCATTCTCAAGTCCTAAGCTTGACAAGCAATGTTTCTGTTTGATTTTTGATTTTTGAATTCTCCCTCTTCTTCGAGTATGGGGTTCGGTGGTCAGAACCTTCTCTTCTCAGAAGGAAATTCTGTTAGGGATTTTGCAGGTTCAAAGGCTTCTTTTATCCCGAATTATCAGGTGATGAAGCTAATTAAATTTTGTTCGACATGTTCTTGTCTCCACTTTGTATTTTTATATAGGCAAAATCATTCTATATTTGAAATAAATCATCTAAAGTCGTTCTCAAACTTTCTATGGTTTATTCTTCAGAGAAATTAAAGTTGATATTCAATATGAATCCGCAGAAACAGGCAGCATTGAGCGCTCTCTCCTGTCCACAGTCAAGCGCATTTTTCACATTCTTATGCATGCAAAACACAAGTCGAAACGGGGGAAGGTAAAATGTCGAAAATAAATCCCAAAATCCTTGTACTTGTGCTCGTTGATTGCCCAGCCCCAGTCCCTGTCCTTCCTCAGTCAGCCCTTACCCTTTTTTGGTCCATCCATCGATCGCCTTGCATTTACAATTCCTTTCGATTTTGCTACAGCCACTTTATCAATTTCGTCAATAAAATTCAAGCAGTTCTGATGGCTTATAGTTTTTATTCCTTCCCTTTTCGTTCGCTCTGCAGCCATTACAAAAATAAAACAAAGTGAAAGCAAAGGATAGGAAAAATCAAAAGGAAATGCATCATTCATCATCATCGACCGACCGACCGACCGACTGAGAGGATTGGATTGCTTTCGTGGTTTTCTATTGTCTGCTCCGCTCCCTTTGTGTTACGTTAATTGGATTGATTGTTGTAATTGCTCGTACATTAGTTGAATTCCTTTTGCAGTGTTTATTAATTGTCCAATAATTTGGCATCGTTTTGTCGTTTTCCTGTCAAAACTTTTCCTTTTGCTGGCCTCGACAAATATTAAGTGAGAACATATATCTAACATGTAGTAGCTGTCAAATGGGCTTGTCAAATCAACAGAAGGACAAAGCTTACCTGTGCCTCCCTCTTCCTCCTCTTTGTCCGACTCTTCCTCTGTCTCTGTCCGTGCTGGAAAAGTCTGACAACAGGTAACCGTAGTCATTGTCCACATTTGAAAAACTTTTTTACGGTCTTCCTTTCGTTTCCATCGCAGCATCCATTGCCTGAAAAATGAGCAAAAGTGACCAGAGTCAGCCGTCAGAGCAGAAACGAACACATAATTTATCAATACTTTGATTTCGACAGGGGAGTACTTTTGTTTTTGGGTGCCAGACAGCCCGGCATCGGGACAGAGATGTAATGTTATTGTCTGAGTCGATGTCTCCATATTGCCCAGACACTGATGCAATTGAACAGTGGATTCTGATTCGCTGATAGGAAAGGGTAAACTTATACATGTAGTCAAATTTCCGATCAGTTTGTGGCATGATGTGAGCACCAAATTGGAGACCATTTCAGTCGTTATCAGAGCTGGCAAATAATTGCTGGAGCTAGCGCTCTGTCATCTTGTCGATTTTCATCTGGCAGCTCAGCAACGCAACAGTTGATGCTAAATAGATTACGCGGTGATATTCAATAGCTTGCGGCTAGTCAGGGGACCGAGTGCATTGATGAGGCGGCACAGCAGACTGTCAGGACTCCATCTCCATCTCAATCTCTGTCCTCTCCATGGACGCTCTAACGAGTTCTAAAACATTTCGCCCGGCTAAACGAAGTTCAACGTACTGAATAGCAAGTAGTTTGCCCCAGCACACACAATTTTCTTATTTTCCGTGTGCGTTTCCTTTTCCTTTTGCTGTTGCTTTTGCGTTTGCGGCACACGTTGCGGAACATTGAAGCTGGAGTTAACTTGAGACGAGACGAGACACCGGGACACAAACTGAATTCTAATGAGGGGCAGGTGCTAGTACCGGTAATACGCGGCGTATACGTAATGCCGCGCTGGCTACGGGCTTGACTCTGGCTGGAGGGCGCCTAATGAGTAGTTAAATATTTGTTGACAGTCCAAATGCCAGCCGAGCGCTAATTAATCGCTTTGTAAGCTACAGTGCAGATTTGGCTACAAGCCTTTGTTCAGCTAATAAATTCATAATTGTCAACAAATTAATGTGGAATTTTATTTATTTACACACATTACCATGTGCATAATTATGAATTATGCATTTTACAGAGGACACAGAAACACACACACGCGGAATCCACAATTTAAATCCGTTTATCTAACTTTGCCCCGTCTGCCAATAATTATGCTCGTTCGGTTTCGTTTTCAGTTTCGATTTCGGTTCCGTATTGTATTTTATTCACCTTTTTTATCGCACTTTTTGCGGGACTGCATAATCCCTTTTGGTGCCCGGTGCCCTTATGACCTGACCGCCATCACTTTGAAAATTAAATTTTATTTACCTTAATTAAAATGGATTAGTTTTACCGTATTTCGCGTGAGCCAATTAAATTCATTTATTTCATTTTCTGTTTGAGTTTTATGTGTTGTGTCATTACTGCGTACATATTTCATAAGTCGCATCCGCGATGCCTGCTGAATGGGGATTCCAACGCTTTAAGCTTGATGAACAGAATTTTCTCCCTACTAGAGGTCTAGAGGTCTAGAGAGAACCTCAGACTGATCGAAGCCCACACATATACCAATGGTGCCCTTCGAGATATTCCATTCTGTATGGCCTGTTTGTCGACACTTTCAAGAGGAAGGTGGCGAGCGGACAAAACTTTGACAAAGTCCAATCGAACATAAATCTAGGGAACAGGCAAAATCTGCACAAATTTAACAACCACTGAGAACTTCCTGCATTGTTTGCATAGGGATTTACTCAACAAAACCAAAACAAGAACAAAAAACGCGTTGATGTATGATGTTGCCAATTGTTTGAAGTAAATCAAACGGCACTGAGCCTTAGCTCCCAGCCAAAGGGAGACAGGATGGCAGGATGGCTGTATAAGTAAGTGCAAGACAGCAAAAGGCACAGCACGTCCTGTGGTCGAGGCAGCCTGAATGGAGCTACAAAGCAGCCATTGCCAATGATTGCCATGGCCGGGTGCCGAGTCCTGGGTGTCTGATGCTTGATGCCTGCCGGCTGACGGCAGTTCCATTGCCTTGAGCCTGGGCCTGGGCCTGGGCCTGTGCCTGGGCCTGGGCAAGCAAAGCGCATTGAAAAATTGCCAGAAATAAAGTAAGCGTCCAAGTGCCGGACAGAAGGATGCGCCCATTCCCATGTGTTGACAGCTGCGAGAGGGAAGCAGTCATTTATATTTCCAGCTACTAGGCTGAATCCGGCTCGAGACCACTTGGAGCTATTCAATCAGCCTAAAGGACGGACAACTCTTTCTGACTGTGGTCGAGGCAGGAAAATGGACACAAATTACTGAGGACAATGCCCACTGTCACTGTGTTGCTTTAAGCGCCATTAATTAACTTCCATTCAGATCGTTTTATTTCCTGTATAAGGCTGGATTACCTTATCACATCGATAGCAAATTATTTTACAAAAAATAATGCGAATTTATTGCCCTAAATCAGCATTGGTATTATACAATTCAAAGCATTCCCGCCACTGAATAATTTATGCTACAATAACGCCAATCAAGTCGCCGAGCCCAAATAAATATTCCTATTGGATCTCACATGGCCAGCGAATAGGCCAGCACTCGACTTAAGGCCAAATGAATTATGGAGACAGAAGGAAGGAAAATCTGTGGCAATTTTCGGGTAAGTGATGCTGCTTAAAAAGCCAACGTTGAATGGAAATTTTGTCGAACGGTTTTCTCGCAATAGATCATTATCCTCGCAGCGATTCCCGTCGCAATTAATAGGCATGAAAATTCTATATATATGTATGTACGAACATTGCATTGCACGCCATTTCAAAATTAGCACAATTTGCACAGCGCTGCAAAACTTTGGCAACAAAACAACAAACAAAAAAGTTAATTAAAACAAAAAGTACGGACAGTGGTCGTTGGTTGGTGGTCGGTCGACGGTCTACGGTCGATGGTAGACGTTGCCCGATACCCGCTGTTGTTGCCACAACATTAGCAGCACGGCCAAAAATGCAGCCGAAAAATCTGCGCGCCATCTGAAACAAAAATTAATTTTTGGGCCAGAGCAGGGAAAGTTTATATTTCGTTGTTGCTTTGCTGCCCAGGCGAGAGTTTTTGCATTGTTTTGCATATTTTATATGGCGGAAATGTGTGGGCCAAAGCAACAATTGCCTCATATTCCCCTGCCACCCAACCACCGGCTCCACCCGGCCAATCCATCTCGGAAAAAGAAAGCAAAAACAAAAAAAGCAGCGAGAGCAACACGCAAATTATGCAGCGGAAGGCGCATAAGACAAACTTTCTGTTTTGCAGATTCGACAACGGGCGAAATGAAAACTAATACCGAAGCCAAAATGTGGGGCACAAACGCCCCCGCGAATACGGCCACATGAGGGTGCTGCATGCCTGCTACTGAGTAATTAAAAGTGCAGAAAATAGACAAAGCAGCTAGTGCAAGGCTAGAGATAATATTGGATGTGTTCTAAGCTCGAATCTGGGATAGATTCGTCTCGCATTCCGAGCTGAAGGGAGAACAGAAGGGAGTTAGGTGTGTACTTCAAGTGTACTTTCTGTACGCCTTAGTAGGGGATTTTATGCATTTTATTTTAGACAAAAGAACCAATAGCGGATCTGTATTGAATCAGCATCAGAATCATTCAAAATAGCTCGAATCTAAGCCCTCAATTTTCTTATATACGCTTCTGGACCTGACACAACAGACTGATGGCATTTGACATTCTGGAGCTTGATACTTATTACCATCGCATTTTCCGTGTATATTCACACACTTTCCTGGGTCTGTAACACGGCAAGGACCTGTGGGTTTCAACACTTTTATCACATGTCCTTGATGTCTTTTCTATTGGAAACTTACCAGAAATCGTTGCCCTGGCCAATTTGGCACGATAATTGCGTTGATAATTTGTTTCTTTAGAAAACACCAATGTAAAGGTCAGGGCTAAATACACAGAATATTTGAGCAACATTTTCTAGCTATCCACAGCTCTGACTCTTCGGAAATAATCGCCCGTTTCAATATTAAAATTCACCTTTAAACTATTAGAATACTTTGCGTTTCCAATCAAATAAGTTATGCAGGTGCCGTATCTAAACATAAATTAATTGAAGCGTGACTGAACGCTGAACCGATCTGTGAACAATTGCGGATGAATTGGATAGAAGTAATTCACTTCGGTTGATTTTCGAAAGTAGGGTCAACTAAATAAGAAATTTATTTCAGTTTTGTTCCTATTTCAAGATCACGATTAAAATCTTATATACCTTATACATCAGGAACGAGAAACTGATCTTTCTTTGGCTCATATTTACGTAGGCAGCAACGATTTATACCACATTTTCTATCTTCGAGTAGGCGTCCACGGCAATATTCTCCATCTGGTTCTTGGCATCGTCCAATGACATGGCAAACTGCAATAAAAAAAAAAAACCAATTATTTCCAGTAATAATACCAGATCAGAAAATTCTTAGGCTTCTACTTGTAACGGGGGTATCCCACTTAATGTAGCCACAATTTACTAGAGTCAGCATCAGAGTTGCTACAATGATATATTTGAGAACCATCGCATTGGAGACTATGGTCTGTACTGGCTGTACCATTTTAAATGCATTGGCAGTAGTGTGAATAATATGTTTTTAACATCCCTCAAATTGTTAATACATTTTTCTATGGTTGCACAATAGCATTTAATAGTCAATAAATCTTGAGGTTTTGGCATCCCCTCTAGGGGGAATAATATATACTATATTTTTATATATAGTGACATATCCATCATTCCCCACTTACTCATAATTATTAGTCTAACTATAAGAAACTTGATCCCCGAGATCTCTTGAGATAATATTAAATTGGTTCAGATTGGATTATTATTATTATTATTATATATACATATGTACATATTTTGGCAGGGACCCCTCCCTCTTTCCCTATATTTCTCTGTATAATCACACCCCTTTGCGTTTATATCACCTATCTTATATTATTCATATATTTTTATATATGCAGTTAACATCACATTTTTTCATTAATTGCATTTGGTTCGATATACATTTTATAGTGTTTTTGGCCTTATCATCATTTGAGAATATGCAAGCGAGATCCTGTAGTCATAAAACTGCCAAGAACCCCAATGAATGCCGAATAGCTGACTTCCACTTGTTTTACCTTCTTCATAATATTTGCCATTCAGGGAACTGCAAAATTAAGAACAAAATTAACATGATAAATTCTTAATAATTAATAGCGTTAAATCTTGGTAAATTATGAGTACATTACCTATAACCGCAATCAGAAAACCACCAACCACCTCCATGAGTTTTCGCGCAGTTCAATTTCTCATTCCGATCTAGAGTGGAAAACTTCATGTTCAGGTGATGAGTTAATGAATCTCCGGCTGTTCCTGAATATTTTCCCAACGATTTCAGTTTGTAGGCTTCCTCTTCTCTTCCAATTTTGAAATCATCGAAATAAGCATAGCTGGTAGCTCCATTTGCCATTGCAAGTTGGGTGGCTCAAGTCTTCTTATAAATCAAAATTTATAGATTTAGACAGATTCTGATAATAATAAATACTAGAAGTATGTGCACAAATTTATTGCGATGCCCTTTACCCTCTACAAAGTAAATACAGTTACCAAAGCGTACGTTTTGCTTTCCCTCTGTGTTTAGATTGGTATAAGAGACATTTTGTATTTTATTTTATTTTATTTTATTATTTCCTTGGACATCTTTCTTCTTGCTGCCTAATTTGATATGGATCGGATGTGCAACTATAACAGCCTTTTAATTATCTTTCATGTAGAGCGGATAAAATGCAAGTAATAACTAGAGGTCGGCTTTTGCTTGCTCTAATTGTGAAATCAATTGATGCAGAGAAAAGTTTACAATTAAAAAAAAAAAGGAATTCCAAAAATTTAAAAAGGCTTGGTTTTTAGCAGTAAAATCAATCAGTTTCGGAATTCCTTTACAGCTATTTAACAAAATCATTCAATTCACGATCTCAAACTGGTTTCCATCGCAGTGGTCTTCCCTCGGATAACGTGCAAAATATATATTTTAAAAAAACAAAAGCAAACATCAACCATATCAAGTTTGGGGCCGGCAGTGGCTGTCGGTTTGCTGCTTTTGTTTTTATCGACAGTTGCGACAATCAGAAAAGGCAAAACCAGCCCATGCCAGAGAGCCGATCTACTATACAGACTATACACACGGCCAGGCACATCCACACCACATTCCCAGCATATCCACACTCACATTCACATCGATCGATCTCGTTGACGCTGTGGGAGATTTCGAGTCTTTAGTTACCCGAGACGGTCGCAGCACGAAAGGTGACGCATGCCGCACGACGCGACGTACAACTCATTCTGCATCTTGGCTATTTTTGTGATTAGATTTCTAGAACAGCACGCTGTGAAACACATTAAAATAAAGCCACTGCAATAGGGAAAACCATATAATCATACATATTTGAGCAAAAGTGAATGCAAGTGAAAGCTTTATTTTGTGCATAAACACACACATTTTCATCAAGAACTATGTCAAGTGCATTTATGTATACAAAAGTGACCTAAATAATAGTGAAATTTGTATCAAAGTGATGGAAAACTGCTGAAAACTGACAGCAGGAAAACATATGCAAACGAAAATTGCAGTTACCAGAGCTGCGAGACCACTTCCGTGTAAACAACTGGCGAGCCATTGGGTATGTCTTTGAATTTGAATACTATAATGCAGTTTAGTAACTGGTTAAAACTGGACTTGATTGGGAGTAAATTAAATATGCTCTGTGGAATAAGTTAAGTTTAATTTTAATTTTAGAAAACTTTTCCACCAGCTTGTTAGTTGTATATTTTCGACTGTCTGGCATCTTGAAATTCTATCTTTTTCCAACAGTCTGGCATCTCTTCTGAAAACAGAACAGCTGGAGCAACAACAAAATGAGTCAATGTCTACCAGTAAACGCGAAGATGTCGAAAGCAAAGAAAGTTTTGGATGAGGCCCGGGAAACGCAAAACCGGGAACTGGATCTGGTGGAGAAGGGTCTCACCTCCTTCGAGGAGCTGCCCGGACTGTGTAAGTACATCGTTTTACTGCTTAAATAGAGTTTTATACAGGCAACAACCAGTCACAAGAAGAAACTCCCACCCACGCACAATTCAGCCTCGCCCAACAGCTGCCAATAATAAATCAGTGATCCTTCTTCATTTTCGTCCTTTTGCCTCTGCAAATGCCTGCATTGAGTGTATCACAATGAAAATAGCTACAGAATATTGCATAAATTAATATTTCCACATTTATTTTCTGCGATGACGCCAGCGCGAAAAAAGGCATTCCATTGTATACAGAATCTGAAGAGAAAACCGCCCAGCAGAAACGGAGTTTCAAGCAAAATAGTGGAAATGGAAGTTAGTTTTTGGTGTGCAAATAAGGCACTCCCTATGTGCAAGCAAGCCACCATTAATCATTTCACATTTATTTGTTTAAATTAAAAGAATGCTACCAGCAATGAAAATGTCCCATGAAGCTATATTTGTCTCGCTCTAGCACATGGCATCAATCTACTTGTGTCGTGCAAACAGCTGTTCCGTATAGTACCAAGTAGGAAATTTACTGCTGCTGTGGTTTTTGGGATATTTTAGATTGTACAATTGTAAACAAAACCCAATTCATAAATTTGTCCTAAATTTCGTCTGTTTCTTCTTTCAGTCAACATGTCCAATATCACCCGACTCACGCTGTCGCACAATAAAATCAGTGTCATCAATCCGGGAATCGCGAATCTGCTGAATTTGGAGATCCTGAACCTCTCGAACAACCAGCTAGCCGAGCTCCCGGTTTCGCTATCGTCCATGCCAAAGCTGCGCATCCTGAATGTGTCCATTAATCGACTGGTGAACTTACCGCGTGGCTTCGGGGCCTTTCCCGTGCTGGAGGTCCTCGATTTGTCGTACAACAATCTGAGCGAGCAGGTGCTGCCCGGCAACTTCTTTGGCATGGAGACGCTGCGCGCCCTGTATCTGGGCGACAACGACTTTGAGTATATACCCAAGGAGCTGGGCCAGCTGAAGAATCTGCAGATACTTGGCCTGCGGGACAACGACCTTTTGGAGCTGCCGCGGGAGATTGGGGAGTTGGCGCGTCTGCGGGAGCTGCATATCCAAAACAACAGGTTGCAGGTCCTTCCGCCCGAGGTGGCTCAGCTGGATCTGTTGAGCAACAAGTCGGTGATGAAAATGGAGGAGAATCCCTGGGTGAATCCGATTGCCGAGCAGTATCTTTTGGGCATCAGTCACGTGATTGATTACCTCAAAACAGAGACCTACAAAATGTAAGTGAAAAGCATTAGGTATCCACTGTTTATATATTATAATCATCTGCCATCTCCACAGCATCTACAATCGCCACATGCAGGCCGGACGCAGCGGACCACCTCCACCGAAGGCCGACAAGAGCAAGAAGGCCTCTCGAATACGCGCATAGTTGGTGCAGCCCCAAATGGCTTCGGCCAGCAGAGTCCTCTAACTAAATTGTGTTCGACTCTTTCGTCGTTAACCAAAACCGTTTTTTGTATACTAATTTTTAAGTATTTGTAACCTATTGACCTACAGTGCCTTCAACATTTTGCTAACTAATATTAAAAATGATTTAAAAATGTATTTTTAAATTGTGTATCCTTAATGCGGGCGAACGCGTTAGATATCCCTAACGATTATACATTTGACAAGCAGTTCATGCTGTGTGCCGAAAATCAAAGGTGGTAAAAATAAAATATTTCTTGTGTCTTTTGACGTTACTTTCATTAAAACGACTCTAATATTATCGTATTCGTAATTATATACACATGGTTTTATTTTATAAAATAGTAGTTTTTTCTTGTGTTTTATTATCATTTCTCATATTCATTCATTCTTTTGTTTTGTAGAAGTTTCCTTTGCCTTTTTTCATAATCATAATTAATTAGTTTACTTAAAGTCAATTAATTAATTCTTTATTTATTTTAATTAAATTAATAGTTAAATGTTTTTTGTTTTTGCTCTTTGTCTGTTATGTTGTTTGAGAAAAAAACCAAAAGCATCTGCTTGCTTCGAGTTGCATTTGTTTCTTTGCATTTTTAATTGTTAAATTTATTGAATACATATTCCATATATCAATTGATTTAATTTAATTTGTGAACTTACTTTTCGGTTTATGTATATGCAATTCGTTTTTAATTTATTCGCTTACTTATTTTTTATTCATATTTATATATATTTCATAGAGTTTATTTACAAGAGTTTGAAGTTTTTGCTTGTGTACTCGCAATGTTTTGCAGGAATCGAAGATGGGGCTAACACAGAAACTCAAGATTTGAAATAATAAAAATTTCTGCAGTGTAGATCACGAGTAGTTTGAGATACAGTTTAAGAGCTAAACAATACTTTTGAAAACTGATCAAACAGTTTGAATTCGAAACTTTGATTGATTTTGTTACAATATCTTTGATCCGTCGGCTTGGAGTAGGACCCGTGCGAGACTCCGGGCAGTGTCGTTGTTAAACATTGAGCATGCAATTCGAAATTCAGACAAAAACAAAAAACATAAACTAGTAACCTAAGATACGAGTACTAAAACGAGTCACATACGAGTAAATGTACACGACTTCCGAAATACGCACATAAAAATACATTTCTATTCAGATTTATATTTAGATTTAGATTTGGGGAGATACATACATACATATCGTCATATACATGTCAGATAACATTAAACATAATCAGTGGCGGGCTCGCTACCAGCTTGCTAAAACATAAAGCTTTTAACCTAATACTAATCAAAACTGACAATAGAAAATTGTACCTAAGATAATCAAAATATGTGATACATATATAAAAGTTAGTTGTTTCGTTTGCCTGGCTCTGCACCGCACAAAGAGAGGATGGATCGAATCAAAATCAAAGCGACATTAAAAGAACATTAAAACATTTCATAAAGGACAACAAATTAGAAACTCTCCCTTGGAATCCATGGTTTTAGATTTTCGTGGTTCTTTGCTAGTTTACAAATGCAATTTTGACGGCTTTAATTAAACTGTTAGCCTTCGTTACAGTTAAATACAATTTAAATGCTTTGCTGTTTCCGCTCTTCTTGTGAATGTCGCTTAATTAATTCGCACAGTTTTTCATGTTTATTTTATTTGAGTTTTTACTTTTTTTTTTGTTTGTACAAACACACATTTTCGCGATTTTTGAATGTGTAATTAATTTTGTATTCGTGACTTGTCTTTCGAGGTTTGTCCGACAGTTATATATAATGTTTTTTCTTCTTCGCACAGTTAAATGTTTTTGTTTCTTTTTTCCCCCATACGTTTTGTGTGTTGCGCTTGCTGCTTTGTAAATACATATTTATGTACGCACAGTAAATATGTACACGGGCATAGTTTGTATATGTATATATGTTTGTATTTATGTATATTATGTCTGTTGCCTTTTCAATTATTTATATTAATCATAATTCTCTTGTTGCCTTTACGCATGTCATTTCATTTCATTTGATTTTAATTTAATTTATTTTCATTTAATTTCATAAAAAATATCGTTCATTTTTAGCTTTTCTTTTCTCTGTTGTCGTATGAAATTTGTGTCTTTGTTTTTGTTCTTGCTGCTGCGTTTTACACCTCGCAAACAAACTTGCGTTTAAATAAAAATAATTAGCATAAAAATTACATTTACATTTAATTTGAGTTCATTTGATTTCTGTTGTATTTGCTTTTGTTGCTTTTGTGGCTGTGGCTGTGGCTGTGTTGGTTGCATTTGCTGTCGCTGCCGCGTTAGCCGCTTTGCCTTTGGCTTTTTGTGCCGCTCCGTTGCCGCCTTTGGCTGTCAAACTTTGCTGTTGTTGGGCGCCCGTGCCGTCGACTCGTACTGACCACGTCCCAAGGCCGTATAGGCATCGGCATACGCCTGTTGCTGCTGCTGCTGTGTCTCCAGTTGCTGCTCCTGCTCCAGCTGCTGCTGCTGCTGCTGCTGCTGATGTTGCTGCTGCTGCTGTTCGTGCAGCGATGTCGGCCGACTAAAGCTTACTTGTAGCAGCGGCGGGGCGACGGCTACGAGAAAAAGGATCATAATTTACTTATCTTCCAGACTTGATGTTTTTTTGCTTATCTCTGACAATATTTATTAGTGGTTTTAGTGAGAATTTGATAGATTTTGATTGTTAGAATAATAAGAAGGTTAATAATAATCAGTTAGTGGAATGGTAAATTTTGTTAGTTTGGAAGATTGGCAGATCGCCAGTACAAAAGATTGTTTGAAATAAATAAATAATTTTGAAATATCATGTGTCTCTGTTAGTAATGCTTTGTCAGTCCTTGGACCTATGCAAGGATAGACAAAATCGAGTCCTGATTGGACCTTAAAAGATGTTAATTTAAAGGAATTGAATGTGAGATATCCACGACTGGTTTGGTTACATAAATAAGGGTAATCCTTGCCACATTTAATCGTAAAATATTAAACCCAAATCCTTATGAATATGTTTAGTAGGAGAGGCTTAAATTATAACTGGTTTATGCAAATGCACATGCAATAACAAAACAACAACAATACAATAAAGTAATCAAACACAATAAATATCGAAGGGTATCCCCGAGGTGGGGGCATGCCAGGAGGTTGGGACAGGAGTGCGAACAGCAAAACAATTAGTGGGAAGGGGAGGTGGAGAGTAATAAATTTTGGGCGGGGGGGAAAAACACAAATGTCATACCAATTGCTTCTGTCAAAAATTTGTTTCATTTATGGTTTATCGTGTTTTTGTTTTGGTGGTGGGGAAGCAACACCCCATGGATCGATGCCTGGGAGGGAGGGGGGCTTAAGAAGTCGCTCGGGCGGGCGTTCGTTGGGTTCGTGTTCGGAATCTGATCTGTCTTTCAAGGTCTTAATGTGTGTCTTCAGGGTATGGCCGTGTGATCGTGTGCTCCGCTCCGCTCCGCTCTTGCCGCGCTAGTAAACGATATTGCGGCGCACTGGCTTGGCGGCCTTGTCTTTGCTGCTGCTGCGACTTCCGCTGTGATGCTTTGTGTCTTTGGCTTTGGCACTCTTGCTGCCCTTACTGCTCTTGCCACTACTGGCCGCTCCCGCTCCCGCTCCCGCCCCCGCACCCGCCCCTGTGCCGGCTGACGCTGACGCTGCCGAGGTGGATGTGGTGGTTGTGGTGGTGGTGTTGTTGGTACGTGATGAGCGGGACTTATTGCGTGGTGGTAATTCTGTGGGGGAATTTCAGCGTAGCGTTTCGCAAACGAAAAGAAAAACGACAAATTAAATTTGGTGGAAGAACGGGGTAAAAGAGCGAGAGAGCTAGACAGAGATAAAGGATAGGGCTCTACAGGAATCTACGGGATCTCTGGGCTCTCTTTGGGGGGGGGGACACGCACCTTTCGGCGCATAGAACGCTGGCTGTGGCTGTTGCGGTGAGAGTGCTTGCTGTTGTTGTTGTTGTTGTTGCTGCAGCTGCAGTGCATTGGCCGGCGGCAATGGCAGCGGCAGCTGGGCCCGCGCCACCACACCGCCGCTGCTAATGGCCGCCTGCACACCACCACCAATGGAACCCGGTATCGCCTGCTCAGCTCCATACCCGCCATGTGCCCGGCTGCCTCCGGCTCCGCCAACCGCTGCTGCTGCTGCTCCTGCGACGGGGCCCTGCGGCCTACCGCTGCTCGTGGAGCGGGTGCCGCGTCCATCGCTGCGTCTCGCCTGATTCGCGGCGGAGCTGCGACTGGGATGACCGCCGCCTGTGGGCAGCGGCACGATGGAATGACCGCCCTGATGGCGATCCCAGTCATGCGAATGCGCCTGGTGATGCGATCGAGAGCCTCCGTGGCGACCACCACCGCCTCCGCCGCGCCCATCACCTCCTCTGGGATAGTGCTGGGCCTCGTGGGCCGGCGGTGGGATGCTGCGTGGCCCGGCTCCACGCTGATGCTGTTGCCGTTGCTAAGTTTTGAATGATGAACGGATGAATGAATGGAAAAGTGAAACAAACAACAAACAGGAAAGCAGGAAATCCCTTCGGACCACTCACCATTCTTCGCAGCGTGTTCATGGGGGCCCTCAGTGTTTCACTGAAGCGACGAGCCCGCCGTTTCTTAGGATTGGAGCTGGGCGTGTGCACGGCACAGCACTTGATGAACGCGCCCATGACCACAATGAAGGCCACGCCCATTAGCACCACCAAGTACCAGTTCTCGGTGACCCATTCGGCCACCGTCTGGAGGGTCTCGCGATTCAGCAGGAGATTCTTCAGCCGCACCAACGGGCCGTCCGCATCGACGGCGCGGCACTTGAGAAAGACATCGCAGTAGCCCTGGAAGTTGTCGCAGGGCGAGCCGGGCTGGAGGCTGATTCCGCCCTTCTGGATGTTGTACTTCTCGGCAAACTCGCTGGTGCTGCGGCAGGTGGAGGTGTCGTTGCCGTCCTGGCAGGCCAGGTCGCACAGCTTTCGCTTGTCCGCGTGCGGCGTCGTGAACGAGGTGAGGAAGCACTTGGTCATGTTCCAGAGCAGGCAGGGCGAGCCACTGCACTCGCCTCGGATGCACAGGGCGGTGCCATTGTTGCACATGGTCTTGTCATCCCGGTGCCGGGGCTCTGGACACTCGGCCGTCGTGCCGTTGCAGGTGCTCGAC